TTGGACACTTGTTATCTTTGCATCCTGTCTTTTGATCAATTTTTTCCAAAAATGTTCAAGCTGAATGATTTCCTTAGCTTCATTCTGTCGTTTCAACAGTTTTTCTTTTAATGATGATTGGCATTTGGTTTGATTGTCTTGGTATTGCCGTTTGAAGTTGTCTTGACTTCACTGGGCTCCCATTACAAGATGATTACTGAACATTCTGAATGGAGTTTCTGGTATCACATTTTTCTTTCGATCATAAACATTGATTTTCAATTACAAATGACTTCACATCATTTTGTTTTTCTGTTTTACTGGTTTCTTTGATAGTGTTGCGTTAGTTATTGAAATGAAGTATTATTGAATGGGCTGTCCATGTGTTTTTTGATTTAGTTTGTTCATGTCCTTTTTGAGTTTTGAAATTGTGTTCAAATGTTTTTGATTTTGTTCCTTTAGTGCTCAGTGATGCTTTTTCATTATTTGTTTTCACGCTGACCATCTTGTATCTTCTTGGTTAATCTGCTAGCTCTGTTTCAATTTGAAATGTTATGATTTGGAACCGATGGCTGATGACTTTGCTCTGCGTTTGTTAAGCCTGGCTCAGTCTTCTCAGCATCTGAAGTACGTATCGATAGAACAAGTTATTGTTAGATTTTGATCTCGTTCGACTGATGCTTGAAGATAAAAATTTTTCTGATCGCTTAATCTGGAAAAGATTTTGACTGCTCAGTTCTATTTGTCATGATATTTTCAAAGAACTGGTTTTTTTTGTTCAGCTAGTGATCATAGGCTATGGTTGAACCTTTTGTTTGGATCTGTATTTTGCCGGAATAAGGTGTCTTGTTCTTTAGAAAGTTCGAAGACTGATAATGCATTCTTTAATTAGTTCCTTCTGATTCAATGTTTTTTATTGGAGACTTGTTATCTTTGCATCCTGTCTTCTGATCAATTTTTTCCAAAAGTTTTCGACCTGGATGATTTCCTTAGCGTTCTTTCTGCCGTTTCAACAGTATATTTTTTTATGCTGACCTGCATTTGGTTTGGTTGTCTTGGTAATGTCGTTTGAAGTTGTCTTAACTTCACTTGGCTCCCAATACAAGATGATTACTGAACACTCTGAATGAAATTTCTGGCATCACAATTTTCTTTCGATATAAGTATTGAGTTTCAGTTACTAATGACTTCGTCATTTTGTTTTTCTATTTTACGAGTTATTTTGTTTGTTTTGCGTTAGTTTCTGAAATGAAGTATTATCGAATGGGCCGAGGTCTCTGCGTGCATTTGTTGATTTAATTTGTTCACGTCACTATTGAAATTTGAAATTGTGTTCAAACGGATTCGACTTAGTTCTTGTAGTGCTCAGTGTTACTTTTTCTTGAATTTTTTGCTTGAATGACCATCTTGTATCTTCTTGGTTTTTCTGTTTGTTCTGTTTCAATTTGAAGTATAATGAATTGGAACCGATGAATGACGGCTTTGCTCTGTGTTCGCTGAGCCTGGCTCTTTCTCATTATCTGAAGTAAAAATTGATGTAACAAGTAATTGCGAAGGTTTTGATCTCGTGCAAATGATGCTTGAAGATTTTTTTTGACGTATTTCAGTCGAGAAAAAATTTTGACTGCTCAGTTGTCTTTGTCATGATATTTTCAAGGAACTCGATTTACGAAAATCTATAAGTAGTAGATGTTGTTGTCGGTTTAGCTAGTGATCAACGGGTATGGTAAAACCTTTTGTTTAAACTTTAATTTTGCCAGAATAAGGTGACTTGTTCTCTAGAAAGTTCGAGGACTGTATTAATTAGTTCCTTCTAATTTAATATTTTTATTGGACACTTGTTATCTTTGCATTTTGTTTTCTGATCAATGATTTCCTGAGCTTTCATTCTATCGTTTTATTTTTTTATGATGACTGGCATTTGTTTTGATTGTCTTGGTAATGCTGTTTGAAGTTGTCTTAACTCCACTTGGCTCCCAACACAAGATGATTACTCAAACTTCTGAATAAAATTTCTAGTATCACAGTTTTTATGCGATTTTAAGCATGAAGTTTTAATTACGAATGATTTCGCATCGTTTTGTTCTGTTCAACTGATTATTCTAGTGTTCAATTAGTTAGTGAATTGAAATTTTGTCGAATGGGCCGAGGTCTCTTCATGCGTTTGTTGATTTAGTCTGTTCATGTCCTTATTCAATTTTCAATTTGTGTTCAAATGTTTTTGACTTAGATCCATAAGTGCTCAGTGATGCTTTTTCGTGATTTATTTTCACCGTAGACCATCTTGTATCTTTTTGGTTTTCCTGTTTGTTCTGTTTCAGTTTGAAGTGTAATGAATTGGAACCGATGATTGATGACTTTGCTTTGCGTTTGTTGAACCTGGCTCAGTTTCTCCAGCATCTGTAGTACATATCGATGTAACAAGTGATTGTGATGTTTTTCATCTCGATCAATTGATGCTTGAGGACAAACTTTTTCTGAACTGTTTTAGTCGTCGTAAAGATTTTGACTGCGCAGTGATATTTTTCATGATATTTTGAAAAAGCTTGAATTATGAAAATCTATAACTAGTAGTAGTTGTTGTCAAATTAGCTAGTGATCATAGGGTGTACTGAAACGTTTTAATTGAATCTGTATGTTTGCCAGAATAAGGTGACTTGTTTTTGAGAAAGTTCAACGCCTGAGATATATGTGTATATTCTTTAATGTTTGGCTCATCCGCTAGCTCAGATTACAATTTGAAGTCTAATTTGGCTTTTTATTGTTTGCGCGAGCAAATAACTTCTCTGTTGAAATAGTTAGACGGCTGGTGCACTTTGTGGTGGGTCATGATGGCTTCTATTTTTTGCGAAACAATTTCCGTCTTCTCATCTTGTTTTTTTATCAATTTTTTGTTGAGGTAGAAGGAGTCTCAAACTCCAAATATATTTGCATGGTTACTGTGAAGAACTCCAAGTATGATTATCGTCAATGAGTATTTGGTCTTTGACCCCATTGGGTGTGAGCATAATCTTAATGCGCCTTTGACCCCATCGGGTGATCATAATATCTTTTTGCAAGGACTTGTTTTTTTTTGTCGGCACTTCGTTTAATAGTGATGATCAGGCTTAGGGGTTAATTGTTTGAATAGTCTCTTAATGCTTGTCCTTTCGAAACTTCTGAGCGAAGCGAGTGGCTTCCCCTCATGCTGGAGAAACCCAATGCTTGAAGTTTTATTTGGCTCATTTTTAGCCAATCACAATTGAGTATTCAAAAATCTCAAGGAAATAGCAAAAATCTCAAAGTAAGTAAATAAATCCAGGCCATTAGAGTTAACATTGACCGATTAGATAATAGGCAGATGATTGAAAATAATGCCGGATCAAAGGCGGATTGGAACAAATTTAATGTTTTTTAAGAATACCGATTTACGAAAAAAGGAAAAACAAAAAACTAAATTTATTATATCTGCAACTATTATATCTGCAACTATATTATACTTATTATATTAACATTTTCTGTTAATATTGACTTCGATTTTGTGAGAAAGGCATTTAGCCAATAAGAACGCTTAGCATTCGCTCCAGCATGAGAACCCTCCCCAGTGAACCGTGTGACATCAGATATTTTAAATTGAATTTACTTTTCAAGCAGAAACCGTCTTGTTGCGACTTCTTATTTTTTTTTCAATTTAATTTCAGTCTAAGACGGAAGGTTTAACCCAGACATTTATTTGCGTATGTTGATTAAGGAATAGTATCTTCCACATTAAAACGTGATTCAGTTTGAGATACTGTATCGCTGATTTTGATTTTGTTCGATGCTTGATGGTATAGATTTGGAACAGTCTTAAATCTGGAATTAATTTTCGTTTTTAAATTGGTAGTCACAGTTTATAATAGTAGTTTGGAGAATTATAAGAATTTGTAACTGGTTTTAAATATTTGTCGGAGATTGGTGTTTGTTGATTGGTGACATTAAAGATGCAAAATATGCTGATCTGATTAATATTATTTTTTGAAGAAAAACTCCCAAGATCTCACAAACAAATTCTAATTTCGTTATACCTAATCTTACTTATTGTGAAAATTTTTGGAATAAAATTTTGCGTTTAGTCAGTTTATTGACTTCTTTTTGTTGTTTTTGTTGAAAGAAAGGTGTATTTACACAAGCATAGCTTGTGTTATAGTATGAACTGTCTTTTGCTCCATTTTAAGTCGCAAATATTGTTGCGATCCAATTGTTGTGACTAAATGTGTTCATTTTGAAAGTGTTCATGTTGATCCAGCTATTGAATACAGCCAATGCTAAGAATATTAACAGACTATTAAATTACAAATAGCACTTCAGCTTCAACGTATCATCGATCTGTAGCGTAGAGGTAGGAAAGGAGACCAGCAACAAAAAAGAGGGTTCGAACCTGGGCAGGTTCGGATGTTTTTAAGAACTGTGACCGCTCTATAAATTGTTAAAAAGCTTCCGCTCTATAAATTGAGGCATGTTAGTTGGTAAATTTATTTTTTTTCAAATGGATTAGTATTCTTAATGCGTCATAATTGACTTTCATCTCTTACCAATTATATAGACTCATAATTGGCGTGCATCACTAAAGAAATTTTGTAGACTCAAAGTTTTACTCATTCAGTTTTTCCCCCAGTAGTATTATCGGTCATATTTTGCTTGTGTATGCGAAGTGCATTTTCGCCTCTGTGTCTTATTTTTTGAGTTGAGTGTTGTAGCGAAATGATCTTGTTTAGCTGGTTTCAGATGATAGAAGTTTTCGAAAAAGCTGCTTTAATGTTCTTTTGCTCTTGATTTTTTGCGTTTTGATTGTTTTATTCATGCGATTTCCAGCTATTCTAGCTACTATAAGCTGCCAAATCGAAATTTGCTCTGTTTTTTTGGTTTGGGTTTGATTATTGGTTGTGGAAAAAATTAAGGTTGAGTTTTTCAAAAAAAAACTTTTACACAGATCGTTTCGCTTAGGTTTAGCTACATCTTTTTTCATATACCGTTCAAGCGTTTGCTAGTTTTCATTTCAGAACTGCGAGTGAAGTATATGTGGTCACCGAAATTTTCAAGTCCAGAATCTTTTGAAATTAAAAGATTGTCGGAGAAAGCTAATGGGAATCTAGAAGAAGATATACTCAGCCAGGTCAGTTTGGGGTCTATTCTGTTATACCCCCTCCCTAGATGACCTAATTGAAAATTAAAAATTGTTAGATTTACTTACAAAACGAAGTTAGATTTAATAAAAAAATTGCTGGTTTGATCTCAAGAGTGTTGCACCAACTCAAAACATTCAAAAAAAAAACATAATTTAAACGAAAAAAGAACCGCATTTGGTCTAGTTTTTATGGTTTATGTGGAGTGAACGGCAAAGAAATTAACAAAAAGAACACGTGTGAGGCTAAATTAGGAGAATTTACTTCGTTTGTTTATATCAAAACTTGCCCTCTATTCAAAACCTAACTTTTTCTGAATGTCGACGCAATTTCGTTACCATCATTTTCTCTTTTCATCATACAGGGGAGTATAACCGAAAAGACTTCCAGTTTGCTTTTGATTAGCTACTTGATCGGTCTTGTTCATTGGTTCCTTGCACAAAAAATTTCCCTGTTCGTTGGCACAATGCCAGCTATCTATTGGCATATTTTTAAGGACACTAACTGGGTAAAAGTATGCAAGATTAGTTTTTTTGTGCTTTTGAAATTAGGTTTTAGCTCCGTGTTGGGAACTGGAACCTTCTTGAATTTGTTCACGTATTGCTGCCGCATTAGCTCAGTTGGTGTCCCATGTTCAAAAAGCCTCCAACGAGTTCTTTTGGTGTTATGAAGGCTATAGAAACATTTCACAATTTAAAAAGGAGGCAATAAGAAGAAATAGTAATTCAAAAAGCTTTAACCTGATCGAAATCAAATTTGATGGCCTTAGTAGAAAAATCGTCACCTCTTTGGTTCCCTTGGCACTTAACTCAATCGTAATTGTTCTGTTTATCAATCAAGTGTAAATGATGTTCAATTACTGGGAGGTTCTGTCTTCATAAAATTTGGTTTTTGTTGTATAAGTTGGTAATATTGAGATGTAGTTTCGCAAAGGGGAGTGTAGTGTAAAACTACCAGGTATTTTTGTTTTTCAATCCAAAAACAGTCGCAAGTATTGATGGTACTTTTGGTGGGTTTTTTGAAGCAGGCTGCGTTGGCCGTTTAATAGGATTTGCTTAGACTTTTTCTTAAAAATAAATGAAATTATTAATGCATTTAAATTCGTCAAATTAGCCGGAGAAAAATTTTATTGCATACATCAGTACAAAAATGAGAAATACATATCCAAAATTTTTCAACCCTTTTTCGCAAAATTTTTGAAATGCATCAGATATACGCAATCAGTTTCTATAGTTTTCAATTTGTTACATGCTAAGTTGTTTGATTGCCTTCAGTTATCTTTGGTGGCAGTTTTGCTGCTGAACATTGGCTATTTATTAGCATCCGCTGTTTCGTTAGTGGATTTGGGGACCTTGGTGCAGATGCGAGAACTTGAGACTCGAAATCGATTTGTTGCTGGTTGGAATCAGCTGCTTTTTGTCGCTTGTGTTCGCAAATTACAGCTTCGCCTCTGTGTGTTATGCTAAATTGAGGCAGCATTTTGTGACTCTCCATCTGGGCCTAGGTGTTGTCAAGGGCCTGCGCAGCGTTGCAGGCGCTTGGACTAGTTGTTACTCTTTATCCGGGTACCAAAGTCACCGCATTGTTTCCTCTTCCTGAAACCTGTTTATGGGACCTGCTGTCGTTGTTGTTGCTTCTGGAAGAGTTTGCAATATCTCTTGAGGTGCGTTTTAATATGGTTTGTGGCTAGCGGTTTACCACATCCGGAGCATCCTGCTGTCCTAAATAGACCATTCTACACTATCCAATTTTTTCACCGCTCAAAATTGCAAGATCAAATCAAAACAACACAAACTCGAAAGCATATCATGCAGATGAGACTATCTGTCCTTGTATTTCAGGTAGCTTAGTTACACACTCATGGTTCAGAAGACAGTTCCGAGAATAAATTTCGAATGTGCTACTCGCACTAACACAGAACATCTCTTCTGCTCGTCATCAGAGGCAGTTGAGTTACTGGCACAATCTTTATTGGATGCCTTCGAAGATGTTGGATTTTTTGTAGTCTACAATCACGGAATTGATCCAGCCGTGCTCGGCAATCTCAAAGAAGAGGTTAATATTTTGTCTTTTTGAAATTTAGGTACAAGTATGATATTTTAGTCCCTAAATTTTAGATGGGTCCCATAAATCACGGGAACTATCGGTCATACTTGTTTTTTTTTCAGGGACCCCAGCTATTAAACTTGTAGTGACTTAATATAATATATCACTTGACTCATTCCGAAAATTATTTGTGGTACCTGATTTTGCGAGGAAAACAAAAAAAAGAAAAAAGCTAAAACACACGAATACAAAGTTCCTCCCCCATTTTCAATGACCGGAACAAAGACATTAGAATTTTATTTTAAAAACCTTTATTTCCGGACATTTAAGTTGCCTTTGACGTTTGGCCTTCGGTTAAAAAGATATTATAAGCGTACAAGATCATTAATTAACCGAAAGGGCAGAATAAACGTACGTTTGCATGCTTTAGATACATATTGTATATACACACACACACACACACACACACACACACACACACACACACACACACAATTCTCACCATTTCTTGAACTCAATAAAAAGTGTGTAAGAGGATAGCGTTTCGAAAAATTGAAATAGATTTTGAGTATAATACAACGAATTTATAAGTCAGTACAAGTTTCCTCGCAAAATCAGGTACCACAAATAATCTTCGGAATGAGTCAAGTGATATATTATATTAAAGGCCTTTTGGTCGTGATTCAAATGACATTAACAATTTCTGAAACTTTTTTCACGGTGTCGAGAAAAACTGGTTTGAAATTTTTAGTTTAAACTTAGTTTACTCAAGTAAAGCTAGTTTTTTGAATTTTTTCCGCAATTGTGGTAATCAAACACTTGAAAATTCAAAAAAAATCCTGCAAAAAATTTTTTTTTCCGTTTTTCTTGTCATTTTTTTATTCAGTTGATCTATTGTAGTATGACTCTCAAATATGCCTAACTTCTTTTTTATCGTTCATATCTTTTTATCACAGCATGCAGAAAAAAAACGACACCAATTTGAAAAAAAAATTTGTGTTTTTTAAGACTGGTCGGAACATTCTGTGCTACTTGCATAGTAACCGTGTATCCTTTTTTTAACTTTTTATTTGCTTTCATCCTGAATTTTGCTCGATTTTTTGTTGATAAATTGTGAATGACTACACGGCAAATATGACGAAAACCGCTGAGACGACAACCGCTTTTGGTGGGAGTTTAAGACGACACTACACACAAGTTTTCCAATTGTTTATCTGAGAAGTACAATTCGTTTAAATTCGAAAAGCTCAGTTTACATGTAATAGCTCTCATTTGTCGCCTTAATGTCATGTCATCTAAATTTTTTGTCTCATTTATCTAGCAGCAACAAAAAAGTTTCTAAGAAAAGAAAGAAAAAATGTGTTTTTCAAGAACTAAAAACAAATTCAACATTTATCTGAACAGTGCTTACACATGCAAGCTTCAGCAAGTTAGCGTAGTAGTACGAGTTTTTTTACAACCTAAGTCGCAAGTGTTGGTGCCAATTTTGGTGGCACTTTTAACGCTTTTTGATAGCATGTGCTTTGACTTTCGATTCGCGGTAAGTTAACACATCTGATGCGTTCATATTTCATCACGCGAACCAAAAAAAGCAGTTTGTTTCAAACAACAGTACAATTATAAGTACTGCATTTCAGAAAGTTTCAATGGAGTATATCGTATTTGTTTGATGCAAAGTTTTGTATGCCAAGTTAGTGTAAAAGCCTTAAGTTTATTGTATTCCAAATTATTACAAATATTCCAAAATTTGTACCTTTGAGTATTTGGTGCGGTTTTTGCTGCATGGCATTGTTTTAGCATATTTAGCTGCTTTTTTGTTGGCTCGTGTTGGTAAGTTTGCAGGAGTCCGTGATACATATGCGAGGACGAGCGGCCAAAATTTTATTTCGCAAGGCTTATTTTTTTCGTTTTCTCATTACGGTTGAAATAGCAAGAATATTGCAACTAGGTATTATACTTTTTTTTGTTCAGTAAATAATTTTGTTTAAATGGTAAATTTAGGTTTAGCTCATAACTGGAGGTAGCGAATATGCCTGGGACTGCAAAGGTCATATGTTCGAATGTGACCGAACCTTTTTTCATACGAGAATTAAACCGTATAAAAAAAATGTCGGCTAGTGATTTGTCTGCTTATGTTTTGTCGGCTTAGTTGCCGCATCGTATGTTGTTTTCTGGTTTATGCAATTCACATATTGGTTGCTTTTAGTTTTTTGATTTACTTTTGCTGTTTGTAAGGTTATAAACCTTAATTTCGCTCGTTTTTTTTTTTTTTCGCTCAAAAACTTTATTCTGCCTAAATGGTTTCGGGCGTAATTTTATCGGCTTAGTGGCCGGATATTGCGTCGTTTGATGACCAAAGAAATTGGTTGTGCACGCATGTGGTTGTTTTTAAAGTTGGGGGCTTCGAATATTTTTTTCTAAGTTGTGTAGTTTTTTGCTCTTTTGTTTTGGTCAGTTTTTTTCTCAAAAATCGTTGTATTCATTTCGATACATCTAGTATTTTCGGCAGTTCCGATTTGTCTTCGATTTTTTTTCCTAGTTTTCTACGATTGTATCGCAAGTGCTCCGAAGCTACGCTTCGCCTCTGTGTTTCATTTCCACAGCTAATTTCAACCATTTTCTTGCTTAAGTTTTCAAAGAGCAGCCTTGCCTCGGTGTCAAATTTAGTTCAATCCAGAGAGAATAGCGAACAAACCCAGTGAGATCTCGAAACGATGTTTGAATTTAGCATGGTAAAATATTTCTCTTTTGCCAAGGTTTACAACAAAATAACCACTTAAAAAAATCTAAAAATATTTTTATTCATTTTCTATCTGATTGTAATTTTTCATTGCTTGATATTTTACGATTATCTATTGAACACTAATTTTTTCTTTTACAAACTGTGATGAATTGAGTAATTTATTTGCAATACACCATTTTCAATGTCTAAAAGAAACGTTAATTTTCAAGGTCTAAATGAACGTTCTCGGCAGGATAATTTTTCATGCATTGCAAAGTATATTTCTTTTGAATGAAATTTTGTTGGAATGGTTTGTTTTACTTCGTTTTTCCTTGTTGTTCATTTTGCAGTTTTTCCACTATGATTTGAATTGTGCACACGTTCTCTGGGGGTAGAAAATATATTTTTTAAATCACTATGATAAGTTGAGGCGTTTGTTTGATGACATGGAATTACCCATTGATCATTATCTGAAACGTTTTGGATTATTAGTGATTAACTTCTATAGCAACTGATGCATTGAGTATCATGTTCGATATTTTTGTTATTGGGCTTTTGTTTTTTTGTTTTCCAATAAGTTCATGTTTTATTTTTAAGCTTTTGTCTTGTTTCGTTTTGTTTTACATACAGTCCCTACCGTTCTGTTCCACTTAGACAGCTAAAGTGTGCATGAATTGCAAATGATCATTTCGCAATCTGATAGTTTGTTGGAAAGTAATTTTTTCTTTTTTTTGTCTAGAAAGTTCTCATTGCAATTTTTCCATTTTGACCTGTTCAATCTCTGGGTTGCATCTGGTTTTTCAGGTCGAGTTGTGATACGTTTTGGCGTTTGATTGATGATATGCAGTTGCCTTTAGATAATATGAGGCAACGTTTTCTTGCAATAGTTACCCTATTGATTCTAGTATATCGCAAATCATAACGAATATCAATAAAATCATGTTTGATCTTGAAGCTTTTGTTTTTTGATATCTACAGTCCCTCGCTGATTGGAAGTCTTCGAGTGCTAGATATAATCCGTATGTCTAAGGTATAATAATTTGTTCTCAAAAGTGATGATTTGAGGCATTTGTTTGATACTCTGCAATGTACAATGGTGATGTCTAAATTACACGTTCTGTTTCCCTTGGGCAGCTAAATTGTGCATGAATTGCAAATGATAGTTTCGCGATCTGATAAATTGATGGAAAGTAAGTTTTTCGTTTGTTGTCCCGAAAGTTCTCATTTCAGTTTTCCATTTTGACCTGTTTAGTCTCTGGGTTGCATCTGGTTTTTTAGGTCGAGTTGTGGTTCGTCGTGGCGTATGATTGATGATATGCAGTTACCTTTAGATCACATGAGGCAACGTTTTCTTGCAATAGTTACCCTAATGATTCTGGTCTAAAGCAAATCATAACGAACATCAGTAAAATCATGTTTGAGCTGAAAGCTTTTGATTTTTGCTTAGACATTCATCGCTGATTGGTAGTCTTTCAGTGCTAGATAAAATCCCAATGTCGAAGGTTTAATAATTTGTTCGCAAAACGTTGATTTAAGGGATTTGTTTGATACTCTGCAATGCACAATTGCCGATAAGTAAACGGAAGGTGTTGTTTTTTTTTAGGCAGCTGAAATGTGAATGATAATTTCGAGCTCTGATAATTTGGTGGAAGGTGGTTTTCCCGTTTGTTGTCTCGAGATTTGTCATTGCAATTTTTCCATTTTGACCTGTTCAATCTCTGGGTTGCATCTGGTTTTTAGTTCAAGTTTTGACGTTTGATTGATGATATGCAGTTACCTTTAGATCATAGGAGGCAACGTTTCCTTGCTTAGTTACCCTAATGAATCTGGTCTATAGCAAATCATAACGAAAATCAATAAAATCATGTTTGAGCTTGAAGCTTTTGTTTTTCTTGCTTATACATTCATCGCTGATTGGTAGTCTTTCAGTGCTAGATAAAATCCCAATGTCGAAGGTTTAATAATTTGTTCTCAAAACGATGATTTAAGGCATTTGTTTGATACTCAGCAATCCACAATTGTCGATAAGTAAATGGAACGTGTTGTTTCCTTTAGGCAGCTAAAATATGCATGATAATTTTGTGCGCTGATAATTTGTTGGTAAGTAGTTCTCCCATTTCTTGTCCCGAGATTTTTCATTGCAATTTTTCCATTTTGACTTGTTCAATCTCTGGGTTGCATCTGGTTTTTAGTTCGAGTTTTGGTTAGTTTTGACGTTTGATTGATGATATGCAGTTGCCTTAAGATCATAGTAGGCAATGTTTCCTTGCTGTAGTTACCTTAATGA